CTGACTTTTTTCCCATACTATACTGAAATAAAATAAAAAAAAAAACAGTTAACTTTTTTTTTTTTTCAGTGGCCCTAATCCTCTTCCGTAGAGATCAGATCAGCTGTGGGGAAACAGTCATCAGGAGCTACTGGCTGCTGCAGCGACTGCAGGTTTCTCACATTTCCTGCTTCAACAAACTTAATTCAGTAAAAAGGGAGACTAGTTTCTGCAGAAAGGAAGTGAGAAGCAGGAAAGCAGGTAAAATATGCAGAAAACTTTAGTAAATACTGGAAATCCATTAATACATGTAAATAAAAGTTCTAAATAACAGCATCTGAAAAAAAAAGATCCCAGTATGGCTTCATTTATGGGGATGAAAAGGACGAAGGCGTCCTTCCAACAGGGGAGGTGATGGTTAACGAGGTAAAAGAAATAATTTAATGTCTTATTTAAATCGATCCAGACCGAGTGGAAAAGAAGCCACAGTCCAAAGTAAAACTTAAAGAGCTTTAAGCTGTAGCTCCGCCTTCGACTGGGGGGTGTCATCCTCGTTTCCACGGCAACCACCCGAGGCACTCCACTTTCAGCTGCTCCTCCAGAAAGTGTCCTTCCTATTTGTTCCAGCTCTGTGATCCTAACAGCACTAACATCCACTGTACATAGGCCATCATCCTCCTCATCCTCACAGAGATCTGGAGAAATCCTGTATGTATGTACGTAGGTGTGTATAGGATGTATTACTGTACGCTGTTACCGGGTGTCACGCCGCATGATATCAGTGTTGTAAAATGAAGATCTCTTGTCAATAAATCAAGTTTACGAACAAAAAATTGCAGAGAGCTTTGTCTGCTTATTCTTTTATTTGCTTTTTTTTTTTTTTCGTTTTTGGGCAGCGATCTATTGGTGAGTTAGGTTCTGTTTCATGAGGGCACAGAAGACAAGAATAATGCAAATCAAAACAGGAGAGCGGTTTATTGTTTAATGTATCAAATGAGCCACCGAGCCTTTCTAGAGCTGCAGGTTACAGACCTGGTCATACAGAAAACTCATCATAGATCATATATATTTATTATTCTCAGGCTTAAAGTGCGGCCCAGATGGTTTTAAATCAGTTTCAAATTTCAAATTAAATCAATTTCAATGAAGAAGAATTTGGTTTGGTATTGAGTCTTCAGTATGAGGGCCAGTCCTACAGGGATGCCGGCCCCTGTTGGCCCCCGACCAGAACCGCCCCTGTTTGTAGGAGATTTATGCTTAATGTAGATTTTCTGCTGGTTTAACAGTTTCAGAACTTCATGCTTATCAGAGGTTTTGTTCGTTATGTTCCCAAAAGCAGGCGACGCCTTCAACAAAAACAGTTCAGTATCTTCTGGGTCTGGAAAGGTTTCCAAACACAAACATGGTTTTATCGTCATTTTATCCATCAGTCCTCCATCGTGTCTTTCCTTTCCCTCTCAGATCTCAGTTTGAGGTTTTTAGGGTTAAATCTGCCTTCTGACATAAACCCAAACTGTCCGTTTATGGCTGTAGTCCTAATTTTACTGGTAATTCCAATTTATCCTACAAAACGCTGGAAACTCATTTGGATCAGAACCTTCAGCTGAAAAATCATGGAAACAAACCAAAAACCTGCTCCATATTAAAGTACGACTTTGTTATACATAGAAAACTTTAAAAACGACTGCAGCTGCAACAAAGTGCTGCACATGTGGAAACATAAAAACCAGAGCATCACAGTTCTAGCTTTTATTGCTCATTGTGAGAATGGCATCATATATATACTGAACATATTCATGTCCTTAAATAATTGATATATACATCAACAGGTGATACAGTAGTGAAAGTGTTACACAAGGAGTGATGCGGAGGCAGATCGAAGGGGTAAAAGAGAAGCTTGTACGGCAATTATCAAAAATGGACAAAAACAAAGAATAAATGAAGAGAACGTCGTTTTATACATTTCTATTAATATGTCATTGAGAAAAGATGATGCATTTTGTTTGTGAAACATTCATAAAATGTTTTCTTTTTAACATTTCATAGAATTAATTAGAGGTGTCAAGTCCGTCTGACACAAAGTGAAAAAAAAAAAAGATTATTAAATATTACAGCTACTTTAAAAAACTGACCATAAGATAAAAAAAAAAACAGAGCCTCCAAAACTGGACCAAAAAAATCTGTAAAAAATAAAAAGGAAAGAAAAACTCTTCAGAGAGGAACCGAAGATCAATTCAAAAGATCAGTAGAATATTTATGTACGAGCGAAGGTTGTTAAAGAACCGGAAATGAAACAGTGGAGGATGAAGAGTGGATTTGTCAGCCTGACGTCCCTCATAGGGTTAACATGTCCTCTCTTTGTTTATGCTGCACAGTCTAACGGAATAGATCTATAATAGAAGATGCTGTTTAGTGGCTCTGGAATCAGCGAACTGAAGAATTCAGTTTTCAGAGGAGTCGGTCTCCTCGGTGGAGCCGTCGCTCTCCACCTCCATCTTCCTCCGATGGTGGATGTTCCGGCGGGGTGAGGCTCTCCTCTGCGCTTCCTTCAACCCCCCCACGGCGCTGCCGCTGCTGTTGCTGCCGGGACTCACAGAGATCTGAGCTATTCTGGATTTATTCAAACAGAAAGACAGAACTCAGAGCAGCATCCCACAGGATGAGCTTAGGAGCGCTTTTCACTTTGATATCATTTTTTAGACAGTTAAACCAAAAAATAACTGACATAAAGGCGACTGACTGCTTTTTTAAAATTTATTTACATTTTTTCTGTTTTCTGAAACTCAAAACTTTTTTGCCTCGTTTGGCATCCTTTGGTGATCTGTCCTTCCCTTTAGGTCTATGACTCTGCATCCTTAAAGCCAGGTTCAACCAGACAAAATTAGTTATTTTCTATGATGGTGTAACATGTAGAATAAATGTGTGATTATAGGTTCTCACAATTTGTCAAGTTCCTGGTCCATTTCTGGGTCAATGAGCAGCTCGTCCTCGCTGGGTAAGGCTCCTGTGGCAGTTCAGAGACACAATTGGATTAATTTGAGTAGGTTAATGAGATGATTTGCCAATGGAATGAGTATTTTTAATCTTAAAATAAGATAATTAGATAAAATGCACTTGAAATAAGACAATGCAATTGTGTTTTCTTTTTTTAAATGTAAACAGTCTTGTTCCATTGGCAAAATGCTTATTTTACCTCCTCAATCCAAGAACAAATGCACTTATTTTAGGACAAAATGGGATTTTTTCCAGTGTGATAAAAAAGGATTCATGCTACTGGCTATGAATGAAATCAGAGTGAGGAAACACTCCTGTTCTTTGTTTAGCTTATAGATCATGAAATCCTAAAATTCAGTCCCATAAAATTGGAATTAGGGCTGCAAATAATTTATTCAATTATTTCTTCGATTAATCAATGAATAATCGGACAGCCAAAGGTTCCTTAAAGGAATAGTACACCCAAAACATGATTAGCCTTCATTTTCTACTCACCCCCATGCTGAACAACACTCTGGAGTACTTTTTTGATATCT